TGTGTTCAACACCCAAGGAGTTCTCTATCCAGACAGTGTCGTTGGAACTGATTCACACACTACTATGATTGATGGGTTGGGAGTTGCTGGATGGGGAGTTGGAGGCATTGAAGCTGAGGCTACAATGCTTGGCCAGGTAAAACTAGTCATTGTTGACATCGTATACTGGTAAATTCGGAGATAACTTTACGGGATGTAGTTTGGATAACTTTATTTTGTTAACTTTTCTGCTCTAGTTCAGCGAGATTTTTGTTATATTCAACCGTTCTTCTAATGATAAATCTTTTTCCTTTGTCAGCCGATGAGTATGGTATTGCCCGGTGTAGTTGGATTCAAGCTGTCCGGAAAAATGCGTAATGGTGTTACAGCTACTGATTTGGTTCTGACTGTGACTCAAATACTCAGGAAGCATGGCGTTGTTGGAAAGTTTGTTGAGTTTTATGGTAATCTATTTCCTTGTGAATTCTTAAGTGTTTTGCTCCTTTTGATAGACGTTATTTTTGGAGAATCTTAATCTTTTTTTTTCTTATTAGGTGATGGTATGAGTGGTCTGTCCCTAGCTGACAGGGCCACAATTGCCAATATGTCCCCTGAGTATGGTGCAACCATGGGTTTCTTCCCTGTGGATCATGTTACTCTACAGTATCTCAAATTAACTGGAAGAAGTGATGAGACTGTAAGTATTTTGTATTTTAATCTTCTTTCTTTGTATATTCATATCTCTGGGCTGATTTTATACTTTTATGGCAGGTGGCCATGATTGAAGCATACCTTCGGGCAAACAATATGTTTGTCGACTACAATGAGGTTCATCAGCCTTGTCCTCTACATGTTTCGGGTTTTGGCTTTTTCTTCTCTTTTCTGGTTCTTATTTGACCTCTTTTGCTTCGTGAATATATTCAGCCTCAGCAAGATCGAGCTTACTCATCATATCTAGAACTGAACCTGGACAATGTTGAACCTTGCATTTCTGGACCAAAGAGGTAGGGTTCTTTTGGTTTTTGCAGTCACTAAGTGTATTGTCTTATTACTTGATCAGACAATCGTATTGATATCTATTGTGCAGGCCACATGATCGTGTTCCTTTGAAGGAAATGAAAGCTGACTGGAACTCATGTCTCGACAGTAAAGTTGGGTTTAAGGTCTGTAATTAGAAGCTTCGTTATGTGGAAGTCTTTTGTCTTAAGCACCTACTTGATTTATGTACTGTCTGTTGTTGCACATTGTGGATGTTACAGTTTATTTACGAATTGTTCTTAACATTTCTTGCAGGGTTTTGCAATCCCTAAAGAGGCACAAGAAAAAGTGGCGAAGTTTTCGTTTAATGGGAAACCAGCAGAGATTACACATGGAAGTGTAGTGATTGCTGCGATCACAAGCTGTACTAATACATCAAACCCCAGTGTCATGCTTGGTGCTGGTCTTGTTGCGAAAAAGGCTTGTGACCTTGGCCTACAGGTTGGTTTCAGGAACTAGATCAGACCAGAAATCTCTCTGATACTTTGACGTTTTCTAATCCCTTGTAAAAAACCTTGCCTCTCTAGGTTAAGCCTTGGATAAAGACAAGTCTTGCGCCAGGATCAGGAGTTGTTACAAAATACTTACTAAAGAGGTATGTGATATTATTTTTAAGTTCTCTGCTGTTAAAGGCTTAAAGCTTTCTTGCTTCGGTGTGGAGAAAATTAAGTTTACATTACACTACATGCAGTGGACTGCAAGAATATCTGAACGAGCAAGGTTTCAATATTGTGGGCTATGGCTGCACTACGTGTATTGGTAACTCTGGAGAAATTAATGAATCAGTGGGAGCTGCTATCACAGAAAATGGTATTTTTGAGATTCACAACTAAGACTTTGGACTTTCTGCCTTTACATTACACTAATTTATGTGGCTAATTTTTTATTGCTTACTGTTAGACATTGTGGCGGCTGCTGTGCTTTCTGGAAACAGGAACTTTGAGGGTCGTGTTCATCCACTAACAAGAGCCAACTACCTTGCGTCTCCTCCTTTGGTTGTTGCCTACGCTCTTGCTGGAACGGTAATAAATTGCGTGAACTTTTCAAATTAAACTACATTTTTGTATGTGATAATGACACATGACCCATCTTCATATTGCTAATTTAACACACGTTTTCCATCTTATTTCCCAGGTTAACATTGACTTTGAAACAGAGCCTATTGGCACTGGAAAGAACGGCAAGGACGTCTTCCTAAGGGACATCTGGCCAACCACGGAAGAAATTGCTGAGGTATATATTCAACTTACAACCACAGAACAAAACTTCCCTCCAATACATGATTATTAAATTAGTCTTTCTACATATGAGATCAGGTTGTTCAATCCAGTGTTTTGCCTGACATGTTCCGAGCAACATACGAGTCGATCACCAAGGGTAACCCAATGTGGAATGAGCTGTCCGTTCCTGAAAACACCCTCTACTCATGGGATCCCAAGTCGACTTACATTCACGAGCCACCATACTTCAAGGACATGACCATGGATCCTCCAGGTCCACACAATGTGAAGGATGCTTACTGTTTACTCAACTTTGGGGACAGTATCACCACTGATCACATTTCTCCAGCTGGTAACATCCAAAAGGACAGCCCCGCCGCAAAATATCTCATGGAGCGTGGTGTTGATCGCAAGGACTTCAACTCATATGGAAGTCGCCGTGGTAATGACGAAATAATGGCCAGGGGAACTTTTGCTAACATCCGTATCGTTAACAAGCTCATGAACGGGGAAGTTGGGCCCAAGACTGTTCACATTCCTTCTGGAGAGAAGCTCTCAGTCTTTGACGCAGCCATGGTTTGTTTGTTTGCTTTATCTAATCGAAAATTGATACTATTGATTATAAGTTGATCATGTATAATGTCTACTGTATTATCAGAGGTACAAGTCATCTGGTGAAGACACGATTATTCTAGCTGGAGCCGAGTATGGAAGTGGTAGCTCGCGTGATTGGGCTGCTAAGGGACCTATGCTACAGGTTTGTTTAGAACCCCTTTCGCTTGCATAAAAACTTGTCATTAAATTTTACATCCACTGAGACAAATTAAGTTTGAACTTTTCAGGGTGTGAAAGCAGTGATTGCGAAGAGTTTTGAAAGGATTCACCGAAGCAACTTGGTGGGAATGGGAATCATCCCGTTGTGTTTTAAGTCCGGTGAAGATGCAGACACACTTGGATTGACGGGTCATGAACGCTACACTATCCATCTTCCGACTGATATCTCAGAGATAAGACCTGGCCAAGATGTTACCGTCACTACCGACAACGGAAAGTCTTTCACTTGCACAGTCCGCTTTGACACTGAGGTAAGTAAATAATATACTTCGTTTTGAAAACGTTGCGTGTAAAAGAGTCATTTTCTCAATGTGAATTAACTAATGGGGTAAATGTGCAGGTGGAATTGGCATACTTCAACCATGGAGGTATTCTTCCATATGTCATCAGAAACTTGAGCAAGCAGTAGTGAGAAGAGGTGAAAGGAACTGACACATCTTTATTTTAATAAAGAGAAGGAGCTTTACGATCTGTTTTATAAATGTCATTTTCTAAAGGCAGATAATTCTGTCGAGGATAGGTGAAAAGGTGGTGTGATCGATCTCCTTTGATACGATATTTTTCTCGCCAGTTCTTATTTTGATCGTGTTACTGGCTCCCTTCAAGTTTCTGCAACTTGTAAGGGCTGGATAATGTTATTTAATGAAATAAAAATGAACACCACTTAATTGATCTCTAAAAGTTCGTATCAACGAAAATTGTTGCGGATTTTAAAACGGACACCGTCTACTCGTTTGTTTTTCTTTTATGCACAAGTCTTTTCCATTTGATTTTAAAATCCTTATTTTCAAATTGGAATTGGAATCTATGTAGTAGAGTTTCCAAGAGGGCTCCATGGTTAATGTGGCCCAATACTGACATGAGAAAGATATTAACTACAAATTAATTAGATTATTCATTTTAAATAGAAAAATCCATCAAAAACTTAGATATTTCAAATTGAAATAAAATTATAGATTAGTGTTTAAACCATTTTAGTCTTGAACTTTTGTAATTATCCATTCTAGGTTTTAAATTTTCATGGCTATTAAAAAAAAATCAACGTGGATCAGAGCTGATTCTGTCAAACCATAAATTCAACCATAAATTCAGTTGGAAAAATGATGAGGGCGATGAACCTTTGAAGAAACTTGTCATTTTTTGCATACCGAGTGTAAAGTGTTGATTTAGGTTATGGAATGCATGAAGATTTTATAGTTTTCAGATATAGTTTTTGCAACACACTATTCCCAATTGATGAAGATAGCGTCGACCTGGAGATTGGCCATCATTAACTACACATTTGTAAGAATTTCAACACAATAAGATTTTCTTTCCTGCCTTCTCGATCAAATATATTTCAAGAGCACAAAATATATTGCCAGACAAACTTATACAAAATGTAAAAGGTTTTCTTTCAACTATGGTTTATATTGATGTTTTTCTTCTGCTTTAGCTTTCTAATCCAATAAAAAAATAATTTAGAATAATTTATGTTTTCAGAGAAAAAAAATAAAAAACTAATGTTAAATTGATTAACTGACTCTTCGTATAGTTGAAATGGTTTGATTAACAAAAGTTGAGATTTAAAATGGACAATTTTAAAAGTTTTAAATTTAAAATGATTCAGACAAAAGTTGAAATTATTTTGGTTTTCTTTTGTAAGCTAAAATTTTTTTTTTGCTGTTTTCTCGTTATTTTTAGGCAAAATCTCTATTCAAATCAATATTGTATTAACTATAAAGGAAAGAAAAACATTTTAATTGGATTTTTTTTTTTTTGATCAAACATTTTAATTGGATTTATATTTTGTTGTTTGTTCTTTAAGCCCGTGTTATCTATCTATTTCGTGTTAAACGTCGCCTTTTAACGGCAAAGGTCAATTACTCTATCTCGACTCAAATCGTCGTCTGTTTTTAAGTCTTTCCGTTAGATGCAGTTTTGGTAGGCATGGCGGATACCAGAATCGCCAACGACGACGAAGACCACCACCACCTCCTTGAGCTCACCGTCCGCGATCTCGATTCTCCTGATTTGGAAAAATCCGCATCCGCCCCTTCATTAGCTTCCAACGAAATCATCCCTCTCCTCGATCAGAACCAAAGACCCAGGTTCAACATCTTCTCTTCCTCCTCCTACACCCGCCGCAAACCCAGGGTAACTTTTTATCAACACAATTCGATAAGTAATTGTGAAATTTCATAGATCAGATTTCGTATGGATCAATGTTGATTATTGTTGAGTGTTGCAGGAGGAAGTGATTAAAGTAAGTGAAAGTGAGATATCACCTTTAACTCAGTTTGCTTCATGGGTTTGGAGTGGCTCTCGTTACTCTGGCTTGCTCTGTATGGCCTTGTCATCCTCTCTCTATCTCATCATGGAGTTACTTTCCCTTTCTTTTTCTGGTCAGTGGCTTCTTTTGTCTCTCCTTATCATCTTTGAACTCAAGTTGATGGTTTTGTGTAAGATGATTACTTATTGAAATTATTTGTGTTAAAAGCTCCGCATCTTGTCCTTTTTTTTGTTTCACATGGTGGGAATCTGTTTAGGTTTTCTGAAACGGTGGACCTGTTTGGCTACTTGTCTTTTCTAGTTGAAAATTGAATCTTTGCTTTACAATTGTTCAAGCTTACTTCACCATTTTACTTTTTTTTTTTCAGTTATGTAAAATGATTCTCTTACTGATTTCCTTTTGTTCATGACAGTTCAGCCGATTCCTTTGTTTGAGACCGCTTTCCTAAGATGCACAATCATCTTGATACTATCGTACATTTGCTTGAAGAGAATTGGGCAGCCAGTGTTTGGACCTGCGCATGCCCGGAAGCTTTTGGTTTCAAGAGCCCTTGTCGGTTTTCTTTCCTTGTTTAGTTTCATCTTTAGGTAGTCACACTCCGACTCTATGATCACTTTTCAGTAACCAGTATATATACCAATGTGTATTGAAATCTAAATTGTGAATCACAGCATCCAAATGTTGCCCTTGTCCCAAGCTATTGTAATAAGCTTTGTGAATCCAGTTATGGCTTCCATTGCAGCACGTGTTGTTCTGCATGAGAAGTTGAAAATTACTGATATTGGAGGTACATTGATTTTTCCTCATATCTAGGCATTGTTAACTGATAACAAAGGAAGCGTTTGACTTTTTTCCGCATTGTGTCCAGGTCTTGCTTGCAGTTTCTTTGGCGTTCTTTTTATTTTTGGCCCAACACTTACTGTCCAAGGTACAGAAGTGAGTTAACAAAAATAGCTATCTATAGCTTTGTTTTATAAAACCTTTACCTTGGCATTATGTTGATTCACTTTTCCTCTCTCTCTTTGCAGTTGGTTCAGAAGTAAAGACTGAAAGTATTAAAGGAAATCATCATATATATGCGGTCTTGCTGGGTTTATTTTCATCAATCACTGGAGGAATCAGCTATTGTCTTATTAAGGCAGCTGCGAAAGCTTCGGAACAGCCAGTGTGAGATTTACGATTCAGATGTGTTTTGCCTCTTTAGCGGAAATTCAATTAGTTTAATGCAGAAATCAGTAATGATGTGCATTTTCTCAGGAATACGGTCCTTTCGTTTGGGTTGGTAGCTTGCCCCGCTGCAGCAATTTGCATGTTTTCGTTGGAGGTATGTTTTCTGCAAGTATAGAAAGTGTTGTTTGATCATTACTTCATTACACTCTTACTTGAGTCATAACCTTGATTCGTCTTGTACAGAGCTTTGTCCTGCCAGCATTTGAAACACTCATTAGCATGATTGTATTAGGGTTGCTAGCGTTTTGCGCAGAGGTGAGACATTCAACAACGTTCCGCTTCTGCACAGTTTTGATTTTGAGGCAACTCTCAAAGTTAAGCTGATGAATATGGTTTCTACTGTCTTCAGGTACTTTTGGCACGTGGACTTCAGCTTGAGAAAATCAGCAAAGCAGCAAACGTATTGTACATCGAGGTAGAGTTTCATTTCCTTGATAGTCTGAGGATCTATGACAAAGATTTTGAATCTCGTTTCGGTTCGCATTACGTGTGAAGCAGAAAGACTATGTTTTGAGTTGTCTTTCTTGTGTTAGGTGGTGCTGTCACAGTTATGGATATTTAGTACCGGAAAAGCAGGATCGTCAGGCTTGTTTAGCCGCGTTGTTGGGTGTTTGCTCATTGTCATATCGGTGAGCTACACAATTTACATGGGACCTGCTAAAGATACAGAATAAGCATTAGCGTAGTGTTGTCCCATTTTTATTATGGGTTTTGTATTTTTTGGATGTGCGTCTTGTTTGGTACAATGCAAACCCACACCTCCCTAACTCAATTTGTTGGGTATCAATTTTTTTTTTTTTTTTGGTTACTAGCCTTGGGAATGTGATAACACTTTTGTATGTTAGTTGTGTTGATTAATTTTGGGCAAAATTTGATACAGTTGAAAGTCTTTAAATTAATATTTAATAAATTAATAAATTTTACAGATATAAGTTAACATAACTCAGTGAGATAATAAGATAATAATATTCTAAAAACTATTAGATAAATATATAATCACTAAAATCATAAATCAATAAGTATTATATATATATGAGAAAGCAGTTATTAAAATTATGGACTTTCAAATTTAAGCAAAAAAAAACAAAAAAACTTCAAATTCATGTTTGAGGTAAAAAAAAATGTCAATTTTCAAGTATTATCTATTTTGACTCTTATATTTTATTGGTTTAGTCATTTAAGAAATTTGTATAGTCAATTGTTAAAGTGATAAAGAAAATAAATGTCTGTCAATTTTCTAAACGACATTATTTTAAAAATTGATTAAACATCGATTAAACAATGTTATTTTGTTTCTGTAAACAATTGAATCATTTCTTTCACAAATCTAGAGTGAGAAAGATGAAATAGATTTAGGACTCTGGTTTTGTTAATTGTGTTGATTAATTTTGGAAAAAACTTGATACAGCTGAAAGTTTATAAATTAATATATTTGACATGTCTTATGTTAACATAATCCAGTGAGACAATAAGATAATAATATTCTAAAAACTATTAGATAAATATATAATCCCTAAAATCATAAATCAATAATTATTATATATATATATATATATATATATATATTATAAACCGTAAAAATATTTATTGTTTATTTTCTATTAAATGAGTTTCATTTTTAATTTTTAATTTTTAATATTTTCTGTTACTTCGTCAAATTGCATACAAAACACATTTTGTATTCGATTATATATATCAACACATATAAAATATATAAAATAATTTAATAAAATATATGAGTTCAAATTTATAGAATTTCAGTAATATATATTATCGTTTTCTAAAATTTACAGACCATTATATTAGTCTAAGTGAATGAATTGTCATGAATATTTGTCAAATGAAATTATTAGAATACCATAAATATCCTAAAGATTTTAGTATATGAAAATCTTAATAAGATATTCACAAACAAAAGTATTTTACTTCTTTTGTTTAAAAGTATTATAATTTTTTTTAATAAAATAGATTTATTAAATGTGCAATCTATATTATAATAGTAGACTTTCAAGGCTCCACAACGCGCCACGTCAATAGTTTTGTGGGTCCCGTATGTATTTTTTAAACACCCATAGTTTTGGTAAGGTGATTACAAACAATAAAATACACTTTATCCAAGTGGTATAAGGTGTTTAGCTAAGCATGCAAGATCGTGGGTTCAAACCACGCAACTATCATGTATTTTTGCTTTTTTTTATTTGAGTTATTATCATATGGGCTTTTTGTTTATAAGGTTTTTATAAATTTTTTTGGGCTGATTGTTTTAAAGATCAAAATAGTTGGATAATCCCTAGAACTTAACAAGTTCAAATCCAAAAATAATTAAAAATAGATCCAAAAATGAACAAAAAAAAAACAAGTCTCACGCGGTTGCCTACGCGGATGGCTTAAAAGCCTTTAAACTATCCTATTATAATATAGCTCAACCCAATAATAATAAAAAATAAATCCAAACACGAACAGACCAAAAAACAAAAAAAAAGTGAATCTCACGCGGCTGGCTACGTGGATGGCTTAATGAGGCTTGAATATTATAGATTAAGAGCTAAAAAAAAAAATCATTGCACATATTTACTAATATATGTTTTCAAAAAATTTGTATGTGAGATAAAATAAAAAAAGCAACGAAAATTAATTATTTTCGTTATTTATTAAATGAATATGTAATTCTCTTACATTTTAATAACTACTATAATTTCATTGAAAACATTCCTCACCACCGATTCCAGACTCCGGCGAATGGATTTCCACAGTCGATGACGCCATAGATAAAAATGTTACATCATTTATGAAAAAAACTCAAACATACAAAAAAACCATATATAAAAACCTATCTAATGAAACTTAAACAACGAATATTAACTTAATTAAGGTTATTTTTAAATTGATAAATCGTTTAATACAAATTTAAATACTATAAATATAGAGTTATATCAAGTTTTGACCTACGATATAAAAACTATTTATAGCAAAAAACCTACTTTTACACACTAAAAACTATATTATAGTCTAACTATTCCTATAAACCTTGCTTCGCATATAAATAATATTTAACACATTCCTAATATATTTTCAAAAAATATGTATGTGAAATAAAATAAAATAAACAAAAAAAATTTAAGTATTTTTCTTTATTTATTAAATGAATATGTAATTTCTCTTACATTTTAATAACTATTATAATTTCATTGAAAACATTCCTCACCACCGACTCCAGACTTCAGCGAATGGATTCCCAGAGTCAATGACGCCGTAGATAAAAATGTCAAATCATTTATGAACAAAATCCAAACTTACAAAAAACCATATAGAAAAACCTATCTAATGAAACTTAAACAACGAATAATAACTTAATTAAGGTTATTTTCAAATTAATAAATCATTTAATACAAATATAAATACTATAAATATAGAATTATATCAAGTTTTGACATACGATATAAAAACTATTTACAGCAAAATAAAAATAAAAATAGACACCTACTATATTATAGCATAACTATTCATATAAATCTTACTTCGCATATAAATAACATTTAACAATAGATATACAATATTTTCACTTTACATTCTTACTACATTCTTTCCATTTCATTATTATTTGGTAGCATTAGAAGAATCCACTAAAACAACAATAAAAAAAATACACGCAAACATAATGATCACGGCTCCGCGCTTGCGCTGGGAATATGCAACTAGTGATATTCAGTAGTAGACAACAGTATTTCAACTAGTAGTAAACAATAACAAAACGAGTAATCTAAAGTAAAAACGAAATTTTATAAAAATATGGACTCGTATTCCGGCAATTACTTGAAAAAAGTGTGTGGAACTTTTAGAAATTTGGAGAAATTTGTTTTACTGTGAAAAAATATAAAGTATACAAAAATAACAAAAGTGCAGAATTACTATTTTTCTGGTTTGCCGTAAATGCAAAAATAACATTAAGCCCAATCTCTATAATATTATTTGAGAAGTCAGTTTCCTATGTGTCGCGCTCACGTTAACTTTCACAATGGTTGATTACATAGATACCCTTAATGAACTAAAATATTATATATATAATTTCCATTATTATTAAAATTTTATTTATTTTAATTTATCTTATCTTTTCTTTATTTTATTTCCAAATAATATATATAATAAAAGTAAACATTAATTAATGAACTATAAATTAAAAAAAACGAAATATGTTAAATAAGTTGATTTCATAGAAAAAAGGAAACTTAACAATAAAAGTTTTATTAAAGGAAAAAAAGTAAATTTTTAAAACGAAAATATGTCACATATATAATTTGATTTCATAAAAAAAAAAGGAAAGTTCACAATAGACATCTTAATATTAGAAATATATTCCTTTTAATACATAATCTTAAATAACATAATATATATTTTTAAAGTAATAATAATATTTTTTTTACATCAAGCTATATTTTCAGATGATCAAAACTAACTTAGATAACATAACATAAATTGAAGTTTCTTTATGAACTAAAAGTATTTTAAAACTAATATTACTAAGTGTTTTACATATGTTTTGCATAATAATTTGTTAACATAAATTTGATTGAATTTTTTTTTGTATTTTTTATTAGACTACATAAATTAAAAATATCTCAACTTATCTAAAGTATACTTATATATTATTATATACATTAAACATTAATTAATGAACTATAAATTTTAAAAACGAAATATGTATAATAAATAAGTTGATTTCATAAAAAAAAGGAAACTTAAAAATAAAAGTTTTATTAAAGGAAAAAGTAAATTTTTAAAACGAAAATATATCACATATATAATTTGATTTCATAAAAAAAGGAAAGTTCACAATAAACATCTTAATATTAGAAATATATTCCTTTTAATACATAATCTTAAATAACATAATATATATTTTTAAAGTAATAATAATATTTTTTTTACATCAAGCTATATTTTCAGATGTTCAAAACTAACTTAGATAACATAACATAAAGTGAAGTTTCTTTATGAACTAAAAGTATTTTAAAACTAATATTACTAAGTGTTTTACATATGTTTTGCATAATAATTTGTTAACATAAATTTGATTGAAAATTTCTTTGTATTTTTTATTAGACTACATAAATTAAAAATATCTCAACTTATCTAAAGTATACTTATATATTATTATATAAATGATTTCAAAAAATTAAATATAAAAATGTTTGATTATTTATTTTTAAAAAGTAAAAGTAAATTAATATTTTTCTTATATAAATAAAATCTACAAAAATTTGTTATTTATTTAAAATACTAAACAACATACTTTAAAAATAATCTTAAGCAAGATAACATTATTAGAAAATGTAACTACTTTTTTTATAATTCTATCTTAATAAAAATAATTTAATTAAATAACTACAGAAATATTTTAAATATTATAAGACAATATATTTTTAGCGAACTATATATATTTACTTTACTTCTTTTTTCTTAATCTTTAGTTGATTTTAAGTTTTAAATTATATATTTAACAACCAGTGTCTCTTTTATAATTTGAATTCCCAAACTAATCCTGAATTCTTATGTTTAAAATTATTAATATAATTTTTAATTTATCTTTTATAAATTAAAATATAAATAATTTTAAAAAATATATCGGTCATGTTCTTTTATGTTGTCATATACAAAAAAATGAAAATATATTTAC